GCAGGAAGGCCCAGGCCTTGGCAGCCACGCCTAGCAGCCCCTGCTGCTCCCCAAACTCACAGATGCCCAGGCAGTTGGTGGCGTCCAGCTGCTGCTGCAGGTAGCGGCCGCAGACCTTCTGCACGGTGGGGAAGTGCAGGCGCGTGGCTGTGCGGGTCAGCGCCTCCACGTTGGCCTGGGTGATGGTCAGCCGGCCGGTGTACACGAAGTCCACCAGCTGCCCCACCATGGCGGGCTCCACGTCCCGCAGCTCCACGCGGGCCGAGAAGCTCTCGGCAAAGTTGCCTGCAAACATGGCATGGAAGTAGGGGCTGCTCAGTGCCAGGAGGCCCCGGTGGCAAGGTAGCTCCCGGCCACCCACCAGCAGCGTGACATCAGCCAGCTTGGGCTGGGAGCGCAGCCGCTGCAGGCCATCCAGCATGTCCTGGGCATGCGAGGGCAGGTGGAAGTCCAGGTCATCCACGTTCCGCACCATGACTGCGTGTGGCCCACGCACTCACGGGGACAAAGGGCTGACATCCGCTCTGGGTCCTAGAGAGAAGAGAGCTAGGTCAGCTGGGGAGATGGTCCCTTCTTTCCAAGTCACCCATCTGTCTGACCATCTGTCCATCATCCTTTCCATCCCTAACAAGCCCTGGATGAGCATCAACTCTGTGCAAAGCTCTTTTCCAAGCATCTTATCTAAACCAGCCCCACAGTCCTGGGGGGCCAGCAGTGTCTTTCCCATGTTAACAATGAGGTGCCTCAGGCTCAGAGAGGCCAGGAGACCTATCTGGAGCCAGCAAGAGAACCCAAGCCTCAGCCTCGCTACAACTCTGGACCATGCAGAACAGACCCCCAGAGTGTGGAGATCCTGCAGCCCCCACCCCCCAGTGGCCTCCTCTGCACCCAGGCCCCACGTTGCTGGGGAGGGTTTTGGCATTTGAAGTCTCCTGCCCCACGGAGCCTTGCTGTCCATGGTTACATGGAATCTTGTCTGCCACGACCTCGCTGGGTGACCTTTGGTGAGCCATGCCCCTCTCTGGTCCCTGTTTCTCACCTGCAAATGGAGAGGCTGGCAATGAAAGGGTTAGGGGTAGGACTGCACCCCCCCTCCCCAGCTTTGCCACGTTCTCACCCCTCAGCCCTCACGGCAGCCCTGTGAGCTGGGTGCTGTTGGAGTCTCTTTTACAGGCGGGGACACAGAGGCAAAAAAGGCTCAAGTCCCTTGTCTGAGACCACACAGTTCAGATGTGGGGGAGCCAGGTGTGGGGGCCCGGCCTTGAACCCCCAGGCTAAATGTCACTTGGTGGAGACTGGTAAAGACAAGCAAGCAGAGGAAACTTTCTGGAGGGCAGTTCAGCAAATCCCCTTCTGGGCTTATTTAACTTTGTGTATTTTTAAATGATCTTGTGATATTTTGCCCTAAGAAAACCTCCCCAAAGACAGAAAAGTCCTGCTCAGATGCTTTCACCCTGAGTCACCACACAGCAAAAAGCTGCACCCAGGGGAGCTGTCTGTCCACCAGGGGGCGCCTCGGGGCCATCAAAGGGAAGGAAAAGGGCCCCGGGGTCATGGAGAGGAAACGCCGGTGAAGTAAGTGCCGCCAAGGCGCGAAGCCCTGTAAGGAGACCCGTAGCCGCGGACGCCCAGAGGCCAGCGTGCCAGTGGTGTGACCTGGAGCAGGGATGCACCCAGGGAGCCCGCCTCGGGGCCAAAGGACCCGGCTGGGCTCTGCCTGGACAGGACTGGCTGGGGGGGGGGCCCTGGCCAGCGTCTATCCGGCCTGACCCCCTCCCGCAAGGCCCTCTGGCCAGGGTGGAGGCAGCTCTGCACTCCCAGGAGAGCCCGGGAGATGAGTCAGGCGGCCACCGCCCCACCCCCGACCCCGCCGCCCACATTCCCAGCATGGTTGTGTTCTGGTTGGCCAGCTGCTGCGGTGATGGAGGCCAGCGGGCAGGAGTGCCCGGCCACCTTCCAGTGGGGCCTCAGGTGGTCTGCTGACACCTGCCACCTGGCAGTCCAAGCCTGGGGCAGGCAGGGGCTCCCAGAGGGTCTCAGAGCTCCCTCCCAGTGTCTGCCCGGTCATGAGTGTGGAGGACACAGTGGGGAGGACAACCGAGGGCCTTAACCCAGCTCTGGCCTGGGGCTGGATGCTGTGGCCTTGGCTCTGGTCAGGGGTGTAGTCCAGCCTCCCCACCACCCCCGTCCTCCGACCTTCTTCAGCCAGGACGTGGAAAGAAGCAGACTCACTGACGCCCACCCCATCCCGAGGGGCCTGGCTTGTCCAGTGTCTGGTAGGGGGGAGTCTCTCTTCAAAGCACCCAGCGCTGGGATCTCCAAGCCCACTGGGCTGTTCCACTATAACCCACCCTCTCCTGCTGGCCCCTGCCCCCCATCCTCCCCTCCCCATCCCGTCTGTCCCCCTGGACCCTACCTCTCAGTCGGCACCTGGATCTCCTCTCAGAACTCGGGCCGGAGAACAGGACTGCCCAGCCAGTGAGGGGCACAGAGGGCCTGCCGGGCCGGGCCAGGCTGGGCTGGGCTGTGTGGCCACGTGGGGACGGAGGGGTATTTTTAGCCCCTGTCAGCAGCGGGGGAAGCGGGGGTGGCCTGTGGGGGAAGGAGAGCGGTGACGGCTCCTCCCCGGCTGTCCTTCCTGAGCGCCCACACAGCCCGCGTCCCAGCGGGATGCCTGGAGCCCCTGTGACCCCAGGCCGGGACAGACGCCAGGAAGCATTCCAGGGCAGGGGCGCGTCTGGGCCCACCCCCTCCCCGTGCTGTTGGCCTGAGGGGGTGGGGGTGCAACCCCCATTTGTGTTTCTTCATCTGCAAGAGGAGGACAGTGAAGCCTGAGCTGGGGGACTCGGGGGCCACAGGGAGCCTCCAGTTCAGGGCCTGGGTGTCATGAGGACCCAGCAAGTACCAGCTTCCCTGTGGTTACTGACAGATGCCCATGCGGCTTCTTACTCTCCGTCGAGTCAGGAAAAAAGTGATTATCGTGAAGAAATGAGTGTTGCTCATCAAGGACTTTCAAAACCTGGGGTCCTTGGTGGTGGGGAGTCTTGTTGGTAAAGGAGGGACCTGGGGAGGTGCCCACCAGGCTGGTGACAGGGACATGGGACCCCAGGCTCTGTCCCCTCATAACACGGCCCTGGCCCTGGGCTTGCTCTGGTGTCTTTGTTAGTCGTGAGTGTGAATGATGGCCAAGAAACGGGATTGCCTAAAAATACAGCAATGGTGGCTCGCGGCCGCCCCAGAGGGCTGGGTTCCTCAGGTCACTGGGGAATCCCACCCGTCTGGGTCTCAGCCAGGCCCGGGAGCCACAGGCCCTCAGTCTGGGGGTTGAGCCCGGGGGCCCTGAGAGGGCGTCTCTGGACATCACGTCCGCCCATCGTCAGCGGAAAGCCTCCCAGCCCGGGGCGTGCGGTTCCGCAGGAGAGCAGCCTGCAGCCTGCATGGCCGGGGCCCCCAGCGGTCAGCCCCGCCTCCCTGCACCCTCCTGGGCTTCACTAACGCAGCCATTCCAGGAGGGCTGGGACGAGGAAGAGTCAGGGAGGGCCAGTCTGATAGAGGCCTCCCAACACCCACCAAGGATTGGCTTGAGGCATGGACAGTGCAGAGAGGCCTGGGGGCCCCCGGGAGACAGCCCTTGCTCCTGGCCGGGTTAGGGCACTTCTCTAAGTGGGATCTCTAAGGGGATCTGAGTGTCATGACAACTCAGATCCGGGACAGATGGCTCCTGCCCTGCCAGCAGAGTTGCTGGCCCCACTACCTGTTGGGGTGCTGGGTGTGAGCTGGAAACCACAGACTCCGCTCTCATGATGTGTGCAGCCTAGCTGAGGCTGAGAGCACGGCCGTTACCCACATAACTGCAGTGACTGCCCAGCTCTGCGCATGCCCACAAGACGCTCCCACACCCTGCTCCCACACAGGATTCCTGATTCCATGCTTCCCTCCCCAACCCTGCTCAGCCCAGCCCAGCCCAGCCCAGTTCAGTTCAACTCAGCTCAGCTCAGCCCAGCTCAGCTCAGCCCAGTCAAACCCAGCCCAGCCCAGCCCAGCCCAGTTCAGCTCAGCCCAGCTCAGCTCAGCCCAGTCAAACCCAGCCCAGCCCAGCCCAGCCCAGCCCAGCTCAGCTCAGCCCAGTCAAACCCAGCCCAGCCCAGCCCAAGGCCCTGCCCCTGCCCCAGAGAGTCCCAGGACTCTCCCTCCAGCCTTGGGTATCAATCTCACTCGCAGGCCTCATGGATGTCCCCAGCTCCCAAGGTGTCCAGGGCCGTCCTGGTGAGGGCGCTGTAGGGGGACAGAGGCCTTGGTCTTGCCTCCAGCTCCCCAAATCGTTTGCAGGCAGAACATGAAGGGTTAATGCATGGCCTGGAGGAATTGAGGACAGGGGACTCTGATGACAGGCCACTGTCACAGGGAGCTGCCTCCCCTTGGGCTCAGCCCAGTGCGCCAAGAATGGAGGCCCTCGGGGACCCAAGGCCTCGGATGACAGGTCAGATTGGGAAACTCGAAACCAGGGGCTCAACAGATCCTCATGGTCAGATTGCTACTGAGTGGTGCCGTTTGTAAAAAATACGCTGCTGGTTTCTTTTCACGATGATAAAAATAACACATGTTCATTGTGGAAAATTTGGAAAACACAGGAAAACATGAAGTAGCAAATTCCGCTGGTGGAAGACGATCCCTCTGTCTTCCTCCAGTCACTGCTCTCAGCGAGCTTTGTGTGCGGTTGCATCACTTGAAATTCCACCTCGAGCACTGCTGATGTGATTAGTCTCTGAAAAAAAACTATTTTTCATTTCATCATAACGGACATATCACATTTTAAGAAGGTGGAAGTGACATCCAGTCACTTCTATTACTGGACATGCCATTTTGGACTATGACACCTAGTACAGTGTCACCTGATGTCCCCCCCAGGACAGAGTCGGAGAGTGACACTGCCAAGGTAAAGTACACGATCTTCCCTCTCGATGCGCGCTCCAGAGGGGCGTCCAGCTTCGCCGCCAGCAGGAGGTAAAGCCGTCCCTGCACGTGGCCTGGCGCCTTCACTCCGTGAGGCCCTCCTGCAGGCGGACCTGCCCACCCCAGGCGGGCGTTTCACGGATCTACTTGCTCACAGTGTCTCTTATTCCACTTGGGGTTTATTTGGGTCATACTTCTTTCCCCACAACAGTTACCAACTCTGTCGGCGCTATTACCGACAATTCCCTCCCTCCTCAGATTTACCGCGACGCCTCTATCTCAAGGGCGACGTGTTCTGTGTGAAGTGTCTCAGCGTTCTCTGTTCTGGTCTACTGATCCGAGCGACCATATTCTGGGGCTAGAACCGCCTGTTTGACGGACTACTGTTCTGTAATTATGACGTCTTCCCATCTGAAGCGTAAGTCTCTTCGTTACGCTTCTGCTGAAAATTTTCTAGTCTCTTGTATTAGTTACCTGCTGCTGCATAGGAAATGACCCCCAAATCTAGTCTCTTAAAACAACAAATGTTGATTATCCCGCACAGTTCCATGGCTCTGAGAGCGCTTTAGGGGATGGTTCTGCCTCGGGACCTATCCTCAGCCGGACCAGCCCATCTCACAACTTGCCTGTCACCCTCCAGGCTCTGCACGCTGGTGGGGACACTGTAAGAGGCCCCTGTCCCAAGGGGGCTGGAGGCAGGGAGGCAGCGGCTTGTGGAAGATTCCTGAAGCCTCTTCCCCACACACTGCCTGTTGGGGCCATGGCACAGCTGCAAGACACCTCTCTTCCAGAGCCCCCCGGGCTCCAAGCCAGCTGTCTTCGGGCGCCACAACCTGGGTGGGGGCTCAGCCTCCTGGCTGCCATGGACATAAGCCCCATCCCTCAGCCAGCCCTTCAAGGTCTGTCCCCAGCACCCTGCTCGCGGACGCTCTGCTGCACCCGGAGGCCTTCTGGGGGAGCAGCTATCTCCTTCCTTTGTTCCTTGTGGAGAAGGGGGTGGGTGTGACATCCAGTGACCACAGAAAGTGGCCACACCTCATTGCCTTCCATCCTGTGTGCTCCTACCCCTCCTACCCCTCCTACCCTTACCATGCGTTCTCCTCTGGGTCCAGCAGCTCACTTTTGAGGGCGAGGTGCCGGCGCCCTCTGCTCAGAGCCCCCTTCTGCCACTACTTTTCTTGAAAATGCTCCTTATGGCCCTGCTTTCCTAAGCCTGCAGGTGGGGGCCCTGCCGCTGCCTCGGGCCTTGTGCCCTGGGGGAGGGTGCAGGTCAGCTGGAAGCCAGGAGCCCCACACAGGGCCTTCCTTTTGGGGACCAGGACCTCTGGAGCCTGGGGTGGGGGTGGGGCACTAGCATAGCATGGCAGCAGAACACACGTCTGTCAGCAGGTGGCTGCATGTGACCAGTATGCACGTCAGTGTGGAGCCACCTCCCCGACCCAAAGAATTCGGGAGGCAGTCTGGTCTGCCAGGAAGGCCTCTTGCTCATCGAATCCTGTTCTCTCCAACCCCCACCTTCTCGCCCACTTCACAGATGGGGAAGGACGGCTGGAGAGGTGAAGGGGCATGGCCTGAGGTCACTTCAAGGAACTGAGGCAGGACCAGTGGAGGGCAGACCGAGGCTCAGGACATGGCCAGAGCCACCGGCACAGAGGAACGGAGGAACTGGACATCCAAGCAACTGGGAGGACACTGGAAGGGGAGCCGATGGGAAACACTGGCTGGTATCACAGGTGCCCAAGGGAAGACCGAGCAGAGCGACCCCAGCTGAGAGAGCTGGGACGGCTTCGTGGGCTCAGCGGTGAATCCCACAGCTGAGGAGCAACCTATCAGGGGCAGGACTGGAGGGTGGCCACTAGCACGCTGAGCATCTGCTGGCCTGGCCGCGAGGCTCACCTGCTACTCAGCAGGTGAAAAGGCAAAGAGAAGAGCAAACCCAAACCACCCCAAACCCCTTCCAGAGGAAGGCAGGCTGCCGGCCCATCTCACTCCCCGAAGCTGAACATCTCGGCTTCCTTCTCCTTCCAGAAGGCAAAGCTGCGGCCGATGTAGCCACAGATGTCCTCGCTGCTGAAGGTGCCCCGCTGGGAGCCGGGCCTCAGCCTCCGCGCTGCGGGCTCGGGGCTGCTGCTGGGGGCCGCGGCAGGTGGCAGG